TTTTTCTTTTTCACTCCGTCATGAGTTTTGTTACTACCAAAGTTTTCCGGGAACAAGTTTTTCCTGGTACGAGAAGACCATGGTTTGTTGGGGGGTGCAGTTTGAAGGTCATCTATGAGCTGGACTGTTCCGCTGGTTCGGATCTATGGCATACTTTGAATGCCGAAAATCCGAGACCAAAGTTTATTCGTTGACTACACCATCGGAGAACATCTCAGTTATGAATCAGTGGTGAACAAATAGCCGTTTCAAGTACCCAAGTACTAGAAAAATGTAAAATAAAACAAGTTTTTGGAGGGAAACTAAAATGTAAAATAAAACCAGTAGCTTTAAAAATTTCAGAAATTTGAGAAAATTGTTCTGTTTGAGGTTGTTGCGCTCGCTGCTAGCAGGAGGTTGTTGGATGTACGTGTGTATGTGTGTGAATATGCATCGTTATCGAGAAGAAGCTCGAGAAAAGCCTGCTAGGAGAAGGAGGAGAAGGAGGAGCAGCTGGAAGGAGGATGGTGTTGTAAAACACAAATTCTACTGCTTATATTTCACGAAGCAGCGGCATCATCACTTCGAACGAGCTCAATCTCAGTGCAGCTCGTCCCTGCTCTCCCTCCGATCCGATCAACTGCTGTCGCTGCTGCTCAGACTGAGCTGTACACTTTGCGGACACTATTGATCAAGTTTGAGATGCAGAAGGCGAGCATGGAATCCGCTGGAGATCACCATGACTTTGCCCCACAACAACAACAGCAACAGGTATGCCTTGTTTGTTCCTTTATCTCTGCACTATCAATGTAATTGTTAAACGAAGAGGCTAAAGTATTCTGGACAAAATAATTGTTAGTTCACCTTCATTTCATACATGGGACTTTCGCCTCTCCCTTCCCACTCCTCCTCTAGCGGCACAAGTACCGGTATTACAAAAGTCAGAGTTTAAAGCTAGAACTGAAGGAAACTCTTTTCCGCATTCTCGGTCATCCCCTCCTCCAAGAGGCCATTCTGGAACTGCCTGTGGTTTCACGAGCGATACAGCTGAGGACCATGCCATTTTCTTCATTTTATAAATGCTTTGACTAGTACTGCGTCCCTTTCTGGCCATCCGAGCGTTCGTTTCGTCTTCTGAAGGATTACCAACGCAGTGTCTCTCTCGATGGAAGCACCTAGATTCAACGGTCTCTGTTTTAAGCGTCATAGTCTCGCTCCCAAGAGTTGTCACTCCCTGACTACGCTAAGGTACCTCGCCATTTGGGATTGTTAAATGCAGAAGTATGGCTTACTTTTTTTTATTAAAAAACCTGAAGTGTAACTTCATTTCTTTTTTCTCCCTTTCCATGTTTATTTTTTGTTACCACCCGTGAGAGAACTGAAGAAATCAGAAGTGAGCCGTTTTGTAATTAACCTCAATTAGCCAAAGTTGACAAGAAAGCTAGTAGTTTCCTCTCCTGAAGATTGTTTGAAAAGCAAACGGAAGACGACAGTTTCATTTAATGCGAACTAGACTTTAACACTTGGAAAGAAGGAGCTGGCGAGTTAATACAAAAATTAAGATTTCTATTACAATAACGAAAATGAAATTTTTAGGCGCCCAGCCGATCTACTGTCGGAGCTGCCTCAACAGAAACATCCGATGATCGCTTGGTTAGTTCTTCTGCGCTTTTGATAAAATGTTTTCATGAACTTAGTGAGCGATGCCGACGAGGGATTTAACGATCACCTAGGCATCTTCCCGAGAGGTGGCACACATACATCGAACAGGTGCTGAGCATTGACTGAAGTACATAGCCTAGGATCGAGGAGCGCCCGATGCGTGAGGGCATTTTAATAACACTACTAACATTACTATTGCTTTTTTTACTGCACACGTTTGGCACCTCGCATTTTTGCTCATCCATTGTTTTTTAGTAGCTTATAAGCTATATGCTGCATGTTTCGGCATAGCCTAGCATGACGTCTTTAAGAGTACAGCCTTGGTACTTGCTACCTTTCTAAAATTTTTCTCAAAAAAGCTAAAGCAGCTTACTGCGTTAATCGTTAACACTTATGAGGCTAAAAAAATAACTCATGCGCGGTAAATGTTTGTTCTGCCTCATTTCCACTTTCTTACTTTATACCCGATTTTTGGCATCCAGGCGTTTTTCTTTGAACTAAAGATTTTCGTGGGTAGATTAGGAACTGTATGGTTTTGAAAATACGAGAGAGGTGTTAGGATCGATCTGAATGACATCTACACAAATGGACATGTTCTAGAGCAGTCTGTGTTTCATCCCTCAGCTACTGAATGTGACTCACGATTGGGAAAAGACGGAGCGCTGTGCAGTGCTGTAAACAGTGTGGCTTTCCAGCAATTAGTGATTTGCATTTTTTTAGCCGGTAGCCGAAGTAAGCGTGCAAGTTGAATTGAAAGGGAAGGAAACTGCCGGAAACAGCTGAGCGCTTCATTCCATGCATCGTTATCGTTGCCAGTTACCCTGTTACCGAAGCTGTTTTTGTTGTGCATGGTACTTCTTTGCCACTTTGCTTAGCATGCGTTGTTTAACATGCCAGACATCCGTGGTAATCGTGTTTTCTCAGCAAACCACCTAAAAATGACACCACTTTCCCTCTCGTTTCTTCCTGTCGCTCTTTTTTAACTGAGAAAAGCAACTTTTCGCTTTTTATTAGTACAGAACTCGTGCTGTTACTGAGATGCAACCATAGTGTTTTTTTTTAAACTATTTTTCCCCGCTTTCCAAACCTCTCTATGTTCGTTTCCTCATTCCCCATGTTTAGCACAAAAAGAGAGGCCTACTAAGGCGGTTTGTTTTGATTTGTTTTCTGCAAAACAGCCTTAGTTTTTGGCTGAGTGTGTATTTTTTATCAGTACTTTCTGTTATTTCTTTTTAATTTTGACTATTTGTGTTGTTCGGTAATTAAAGCATGCTGCTGTTGTTTTTTATCAATAAAATCTTACATGAATGTAGTGTAAAACTTTCCACACTGCACTTTCCTGCTCACCATAGGACCGTCGACGAAGCCAGTTCAACTGGATTTATTTGAGGACTTAATTTTGACGATTTTGTAAATGCGATAAATTTGTTAATAGGCATCACACTGAGAAATAATCGTCAGTCGAAATCCGAAGCCTCCCCTTCCCTTCCTCCCCTCTTCCCTTTCTTCCATATTTGTTCTGCATCAAAAGCGGAGCCGCTCGGGAAGTAGAATAGCGATTGCCAACAGCAGTTACCCTTTGGCTGGACTGTCGATGGCTCCTTCTTTCGAGAATTGCTTAGAAGCAAGCAGATGGCGAGTTTTAAATAAACGCAGACGTCAGATAATTCAAATTTATATAGGCTATTGCGCGATGAGAAGAGCATATACCGCACGAAGTTTGCAAATTCTGAAAGAGTAAAATACCAAGGAAAGCAGAACAGTTCGGGCTATTAGTGTGGGTACCCTAAAGTTACTGGGTGAGTGGAAAATGAAGTGCTGTCAATATCAGCATGGAAAGTCAGAAGTCAAAAATAATCATTAATTTTAAAAAAGCTGAGCTATGAAAGCGAATGTTTGCAGGATTCGCAGACAGATGCTTCCCAGAATCCTACTACTGGTCCGGCAGCAGCAGCTGAGGACTCTTTTCCAGCTGCAGATCTTAAGGAAGTTTCATCCACCCCGGCTGCTGCATCGGAACAAATGGAACAGTGCTCTCCAGTGGTTCCAGCCCAGGACCCTACTGTAAAGCCCATTTTGAATGGTACTGAAACTGAGAAGACAACTCCATGTTTGGAAAAAACGCCGCCACCACTACCAGTTTCCGAAGAAACCGCAAATGCTCCGGATTCAGTAACCGAATTAGCGCCTGCTTTTGAAAATGCTGAAGTTGAGCGGGGGCAGTTGAAAGATGAAAATGGTTTCATCTTCTACAAATGTCGATTTTGTGGATTAACCTATAACTATCTGACAACATTGCGAGCGCACGAACGTGTACACAACATTGATGAGGTAGCATCTTAACAGTACTTTCTACATGTTAGTTAGAAAACTAAAAAAGTAATTGGCCAACGCACGGATTGCCCGCGCGAAGATGCGTTTTTTTCATAGTTCCCCGCAGGTTTTGTCGCTACCGGCATAGGCTTTTCGGGCAAATGCTTCTAGCTAATCAGATTAAGACTGGCCCCCAGAACTGTCAGGAAAGATCTAAAAATTCAGTTTTCTAGCTTTCCTAGCTCCTGAGTTAGCAACTTATTCGAAAAAAACTTTCGTGGGCCCATACGTGGGTACCACACATACCCGATGTTTGGGTTTGAGCTTTTTGAGACTTACGTGGACGGGGAACATCCCCGCAAAATTACAGTCTTTTAGCTTTTCAGGTTGTCGGATTGGCGACCTACCCACGAAAAAATTTCACGGGCCCGTGTGTGGTATCACGCATACCCGATGTCTGGGTTTGAGCTCTTTGAGGACTTACGTGGACGAGGAACATCCCCGCAAAATTACATTACTGTCTTTTAGTTTTTCAGGTTCTCGGATTAGCGACTTGCCCGCGAAGAAATTTCACGGGCCTGTACGTGGGTACCACGCATACCCGAGAGCTAGATAAGACTTATGTGGGCGGGGAACATCCTCTTAAAATTACAGTCTTCTAGCTTTTCAGGTTCTCAAATTAGCAACTTGCCCGAAAAAAATTTTGGCGGGCCTGTACGTGAGCACCACGCGTACCAGGAGCTGGTTTGTGGCTCATTAAGACTTACTTGGACAGGAAACGTCGCCTTAAAATTTCAGCTTTCTAGCGTTCCTGGCTCCCGAGTTAGCAACATACCCGAAAAAAAATTTCACGATCCCTTACGTGGGTACCAAGCATACCCGGGGGCTGGGTTTGAGCTGTTTAGTACCCACTTTGACGGGGAACATCTTAAAATTCCAATCCTCCAGCTTCTCAAATTTTCGAGTTAATAACTTACCCGAAAAAAACTTTGGCGGGCCCATACGTGGGTAGCACGCATATTCAAGGGCTGGGTTTGAACTCGTTGAGACTTACGTGGACGGAGGACATTCTTCTAAAATTACAGCCCTCTAGCTTTTCAGTTCCCCGAGTTAGCAACTTATCCGAGAAAAACTTTAGCGAGCCCGTACGTGGATACCACGCATACCGGAGTCTGGGTTTGAGCTCAGTGAGACTTAGTTGGACGAGGAACATTTCCTTAAAATTTCAGCTTTCTAGCTTTTTTGGTTCGCGAGTTAGCGACTTACCCGCAAAAAACTTTCACGAGCCCGTACATGCGTGTAGATTAAGTTCCTAAAGTCTCAGCCCTGTAGCTTTTGTAGGTCTGGAGATGAAAAACCGTAAAAGGCGCGCACACAGACACACACAGACAACCCCTCGTCAATATGCGTTTTCTGCACTGCATAGTTGCAAAAAACGCATAACAGAGTAGGAAGGTGGTGTAGATCTTGAGTAACATTTTTTTGCATTTTTTTTAAATCTTGGATACGTCTGTGAACGTTAATAGGTGATTGGTTATGTATATTGATGCATCTATTTCATGCTCGATTAGATGTTTTGGCAAATGCTTTTGAAGTTTTTCCTGCATAATTGTAGATAAGGATGCAGAGATTAGTTTTTCAGTAGGGTCACCGAGATTCTGTAATCATGAATTTCATTTCAGCCATACAAATGCAGTCGTTGTTCAGAATCGTTCCATTTCATGTGTGAATTGGAGTATCATGCAAAGCAACATACAGGTGAAGATATTGGTTATCCATTACACTCTTTTCTGTATTCATTATCCACAGTAATGAAAGTGTCCCGTCGTGGTTTAAAATAGGTAACATTCGAGGCAAAGTGATAATGCTCAATGCACACACACGCACACAGACACACACACACGCACACAGACACACACACACACACACGCACACACACACACACACACAGGATTGCCAACAAGCAAGCTGATAGTCTATTTGACTGCATGGAAATGCGCCG